CCCCAGCTGCTTGGGGCTTCCAAAATAAATGAATAGCTCCATTGAGCCCACCCCGCCTGGGAGAGGATGGGGCAGGAGCTCCTGCAAGGATTTTAGATTGGATATAAGTTTTTCTTTGCAGAAGGGGTTGTTGGACGTTAGAATGGGCTGCCCAGGGCAGGGGGGGGAGTCCCCATCCCTGGAGGGGTTGAAGAGTGGGTTGACCCAGCGCTGAGGGATCTGGTGGAGTTGGGAACGGTCAGTGTGAAGTTTGTGGTTGGACTGGAGGATCTTCAAGATCTTTATCATCCTGGATTATTCTGGGTTTCTGATCAAAGGAGGACCCTCTGGGTCTTACCGGAGCAGTTGTAGCCATTGAGGACGCTGTCCAACAACGCGTGGGTGGTTTGCTGGAACACCTCCTCCTGCGTGGCCCCCTCCCCAAAAACTCGGTCAAAGACAAACTTCAGGTCCTTGCTGTGGTGCTTGGGCCCGTGAGTGGGCAGCACACTGCTGGGGGGGCCACTGTGCTCCTCAGGGTTGAAGACGAGGATGTGCTGGTCAACGACATGCAGGACGGGGCGTGCGGCCCGCTCTCGCTCACAGGAAGAGCGGGGCCGCACACGCACCACAACAGCCACAGAGCCCTCCTGGGGCGGGGGCCCCAGCATCATGGTGACAGGGGGGTGCTGCGATGGGGGCACGGCACCGCCTGGAGAACAACGGCACCGGGCTCCAACGTCCCAAGGGCCTCACACACTGTGGGGGGTGGGGGGGAATGGGTCAGCTGAGGGGGTGGAGGGGAGTCGACAGCTGGGCAAGGCCTCGCACCCCCTCCCTGTCCTGACCCCCGCTGGTGCCCCCAGAGCTGCCCCCAGGGCCCCAGACCTGCCCCCGCGCTCCCGCTCCTCCCCTCAGCGCACCCAACGCCCTCAACGGCCCCTCCTGCCGCTCCGCTGCCCAACGGTCGCGCAGGCCCCGCCCTCGATCCTCATTGGCCGCTCTTCCCGCCCTCGCTCCTCATTGGCCGCTCTTCCCGCCTCGCCCTTCCATTGGCCGCCCGCCCTGCGCGGTGCACCATGGGAGCGGTAGTCCCGCGGGCCCCGACCTGGCCGCCATCTTTCCCCCCTCCCCATCGCCGGCCCGGCCGTGGCGGCCCCCTGAGGCGGGGAGAACCGGCGGCCCGAGCGCTGTCCAGCGGAGAGAGCCCAGCCAAGGGCCCGGCAGGGCTGAGGGGCGCGGGGTCGCCGCCTGCTGCCAGCCACAGCGAGCCGCAGCGGCAGCCTTCTCCTCCCAGCTCCGAGCTGACAGCCCCGGCCCTGAGCAGCCCCCGCGGCCCGGCCGCTGCTGCTCCCGGGGAATTGGTGCTGAGAAACGAGCCCCGGTACCGCCGGGGGACACACACCCACCCGTGCACCCTGTCCCCAGGGCCACCCAGGGGGCCCCAGCGGCTCCTGTCCTCTGACCCCACCGCAGCTGCTCAGGAGGCGGCTGGTGGCCGCAGGCACGTGCTGTCACCTCGAATTGGGCCGCGTCCTGCCTGTGCCGAGGCAGCGGTGACAGGTGACCGTGCCGGAGGGTCCTCGTGGCTCTGCAGGGCCGGACCACGTCGCCCCCCCTGCAGTGAGGACGCATGTACCTGAGGGGACACCCCTCATGGGGCCACCTGGGCTCTGGGTCAGGGACATGGTGGCGGTGGCACCCCCAGTGCCTGCACTGGAGGTGGCAGAGAAGACGCCAGCACTTGGGGACAGGGGAGCCCCTCCCGGCACCCCCGGCCGGGCCAGTTCAGGAAGCCAAGCGAGGTCGACGGGGGGTGGCAGGTGGACCCTGTCCCCGGGGTGGGGGATGTTGGCTCTGCCCCACGCAGGGACACAGACAGCAGACGGGGAGAGGTCACAGCTCTGCTTTACCATGGGGTAGCCCTGGGGTCAGGCAGCAAGGCATCTCCCCCCTGCCCCAGCGCAGCCCCCCAGCACGGGGCTGGACAGGGGGGGCACCCGTATAGACATCTGCGTGTCCTGTACATATATACACGCCAGCAGGGACCCCCGGCCCCGGCACTGCCACAAGTGTGGGGAGGCAGCGAGGAGTGGGGCACCACGGGGCCAAGCGGGGAGCACAGCCAGGGGATGGGGGCACAGTGGGGCAGCGCAAGAGGGTCCCCCAGCCTCTTGCTGGTCCCCAGCCCCCTGCGGGCCCCCAGCCTTGAATTAGCAGCTGTGGGGTGAGCTAATGGGAAACGGGGGGTTTGGGGCACCGCACATGGCCTGGATCACTGTGGGGGGATGCCGTGGGGCTGGACAGTAGCAAAGGGGAGGCTCTAGGGCTGGGCGGCAGTGGGGGGATGCTGTGGGGCTGGGCGGCCTTTGGGGGATACCGTGGGGCTGGAGGTCTATGGGGCGATGCCGTGGGGCTGGGGGGCCGTGGGGCGACGCTGTGGGTGTAGGTTCAGTCCGAGTAGATGATGAAGCCGGAGAAGGTGCTGTACTTGATGTTGTTGCCGCCGTGGGCTTTGCCCCCGTCCAGCTCGATGAAGACCTCGTCCCCCGCGTCCAGGTGCAGGATGACGCTGTTGCTGGCGTAGTCGTA